ATGTCTAGTGCCGAATTAGTCTATGGACAAACTTTACGACTTTCTGGAGATTTCTTCTCCTTCGTGCTGAAATCTTATTACTACGATGCTTCTTATGCGCAACAAATTGCGGCTAAGCTACGCTTATGTCGACCGTTCGAACCAAGGGAATCCAAGCGTAAATTTTTCATTCCCAAAGACTTAAACTGCTGCTCGCACGTTTTCTTCCGTATCGACGGTATTCGCAGACTTAGAATGCCCATACAAAGGACCACTTAAGGTCATTCAACCTAAGGATCGAGTCCTTGTTATTGAACGCTACGACAAATCCAAAGCCGTTACTATCGACCGACTCAGTCGCTCATTTCGAATCTGCTGACAACCTCGAAGGCGATCATAGGTCAGCAGTCCCGCCGCTTCCAGTCGAACCAGACGGCACACTAGCTGCCGCCCCACAGACCTCACGAAACTTCACAGTTAATGCCACCACGTCCACAGTCGAACCGCAAACGTCGACTAGGTCCGGTAGACGACTTCATTAGCCGGCGCGTCTAAAAGATTGACGTCCTTTTTTCCGCACTTTTGTCCAGAATAAAACGCGAAAAATCTGCAACTTTTTTTAAAAACCCAAAAAGCAAAATCTTTTGAAATCACAAAAACAATCTGCGTTTTGTTCACTTATCACACTCGGTAACTGTTATCGCTTTTCCTTTACTCTGGTCATTTCCGCGTGCTTGACCTCGCTTTTTTACTTCCTTTTCATATCCCCAGTCCCGAACTCTTAAACACCGCCGGACATCACGTTGCCAAACGCTGTGATCGAACACTGCGTTCTTTTCCTTTTTTGGCACCCGTAAGGAGGACTCGGGTGGGAGCTCGCTATGAGCCGATCGCACTAGTGCTCCTCAGCAGCTGCATTGGGTTTCATCACCTGGTCTGCAGAAGGCTGGCTGGCGACGGACAGTCCTCACGTAGATCGAAGGGTCACCCACGGTTTCCTTCCTAGGAAAGGGGCTGTGTAGCGACCTGGAGATTTCCCTGTATGATGTGTAAAATATTACTAAAATATAGTTTCATCTGTACCCAGGGAAATTAAGCAGTGTCTGTCGCTTGCTGACCACTTTTGTTTATATACACACACTTCCGGAATTCCGCTGCCGGAGTTAATCTCCTACTCTACCGGAACGTCTCTTCCTTCCTCTCCTAAGCTAGCTTTCGTTGGGTACCTTTTTCAGCTTAGCGAGTTTGTACGTTTCGGCACTAAACGTATACCTCGCCCTATTTTTTACCTGTCTTTTCACTTTCCATCGGTTGTTTGGTTATGCGCATATGGCGGATAAGCGAACACATGCTACTGCCGGCGCTTCCCTTCTTTCCTTTCTCCGGTTTCTCTTACTCCAGTCCCAACCACTATTAATAACGCACCTACTATAATTCCCAGCTTAATTGACAGCAGCCGTAGTGTTACTGTAATTGTGCCATCTGTAACTATCTTCCCATACTCCCCACTGAACACCAGTCGCCAACAGCTCCTCATAAGATCACACTGTCCAGTTTTCCTGGCGGCATTCAGCGTTCACACTCTATGACAAATAGGTCAACAGGCTGTACTCGCACTCATGTTGGGCACACTGGGTACTGACGTGTGTTGTGTGCCCGAATTTAGGATCAGTGACCCTCATTGCGTCTGCTAAGGTAACTGCGCCAGACGGGTGGGCATTGTTCTCAGCCCCAAGGCTGAGTCAACCTTGGTTGATTGGATTCCCGTGAACAGCTGTTTTTGTGCAGCCTATTTGAAGACATTAACTAAGGTTGCGCACTTCGTCGCAGATTGGCTAACAGGAAGCACTTGCCTTAACACTGTAGACCCTATCAATCAATATCTGCTGCTTATCAGAAACTCTTCTGCAAGATTTGAGTTCTGTAACTACCTTGCGATCACCAACATGCGACACTGGCGGTATTTTCTCATTGCGCTTGTCCGGAAATGACGCGGCTTCAAATGCCGGTCAAGCCGGTGTGGGCATTGCTGTTAGCCCCCGAGCTGAAGCTGCCCTGATCGATTGGATCCCAATAAACATCCGGATGTGCGCTGTCAAATTGGCTGGCTCGTTCAGAGCCTCGAAATCACATGCAAACAAATTTTGCTTGTTTATCATTGCGGTCTACGCACCCATAAATTATGGCACCGACTCGCTGAAAGACGAATTCTATTACTAACTGAACGCGCTCCTCCGTTACAGAAATGTACGGATACTGTGGTGCTGGCTAGTGATTTGAACGTCCAGGTTGTAGAACTGCCCACTGATGCGCTTCATCTGGGCGGCCAACATGGTGTAGGCCCCCTTAATGACAACGGTGAGCGGTTGCTCCACCTGTTTGAAGATGCCCGCCCCTTTCGATACAGAACTCGCGGAAGAGTGACTTGGTGCCCACCATCCTCAGACCAGCTGTGGAAGCAAATCGTTCACATCGCGATCAGTTACATGGAGAAACTGTGTTAAAACTGTCGCTCGATTTGGAGCACAAGCGTGGACTCTGACCACGCACTTGTTTCCGCCGACCTGTGGGACCGTTTCGGCGGACGTCCACAATGGTGCTGTGAGCACATAGGTACTTGCCAACTGGCCTGGTCAGATGTTCTGAATGCGTATCAAAGTACGCTGAAATCCGCGAGGAGTAAGAATTCTTTGAACACAGTTGAAAATCGCTGGTCGCATATCCGCCAGACGTTATTAGCAACAGACATGTCTTCATGGGACAAATCAAATTGCCAACCTGAACATTGGGTTACCACGCAGTCTCTAGAACTTATTGATGCTCGTTGACGTGTTCCAGTTGGAAGCGAATACACTGAGACTCGCGAAACTGCGTGCTATCCTGAAGCGAGACCGCGAAACGTGGTGGTCTCATCGTGCATCGGCGAGGGGGACAGCCGCTGCATCGTTCCGGAAAGCTACCATCTGGCTACTAAGCAACAAAAAATATTATACAAAATTATATTATGCTACGAACTGAGATCGTGGTTGGCAGGGGAGGCTAGAAGCGATGGGGAGGGACAAAGAAACGCACAGTTGGAATGCCACTGAGGTCGGCTCCTAGCCATGTCAGCAAGTGTGTCCAACCAAACGTGTTCATCGTCTTTTGGACTCCAACCAGGAAGCCGTGACGCTCCAACCGAGGCTAGCTCCGAAGTGAGGGCTTTCATTCCTCTCGACCAAGTCATCGCTTAGCCACCACACTTCTTCTTCCATTCACACCCGCGGCGAGCAAACAACGAACATGGCGGGAGTCGGTGGGCTGGCATGTGTAACACGTGGCCGAGCCATCGGAGCCTGGAGCGTGAAATGACGGTGTTGAACGGTTCATTCCTTTTTCCTGTGCTGTAAACAAGACGTCGAACACGCTCGTTGCTCACGTGGTGTTCCAACCAGATGTGAACCAAACTGCGAAGGCACCGATGGTCGAACGTAACTATCCACTTTAGATCTGCTGATCTAACGGGCCAGGTTTCGCAACCGTACAGTAAGGTCGAACATACTGCTGCATTGTACACTCTACCCTTCAGGGTGAGGGTGATGTCGCGCCGCCGCCATAAGTGGCGAAGACTAGCAAAAGCACCTCGAGCTTTTGCTATACGGTTCGTGACCTCATCTTCCATCCCAAGGGCGCTGATACAACTTCCCAGGTAGTTGAATTTCTGAACGACTTCTAGCTGATCCCCACCAAGCGTCAGCGTAGGAGGCGACCCCTGTCAATCTTGGAGGAAGGCTTTTCACTTCGATGGTGCAAAGTAAAGCCCGAAGCGGCTGACCGCCAGTGCTAATCTGTCCAGTGCATCTTGGCACGTCTGGGAGCTTTCACAGATGAGGGCAATGTCGTCAGTGTACTCCAAGTCAACAAGTCGTTCTGCTGGGAATAGCTCCACACCTTCCAAGTTATGTCCTGTAAACGCAACCTTCATGACTTCGTCAGTAGCGAAGTTGAGGAGAAAACGTGACAGCGGGCATTCTTGTCTCACACCGCTGGAGATATTGAAGGGTGGCGATAACTTGCCGTAAGCCCTCACTTTGCCCGTACTACCGCGTATAATGCTCGGATATTGTTTACGTATTTCTCGGGCACACCTTTCCTGAGTAGACAGTCCCAAAGTGCACGTCTATCCACCGAATCGAAGGCACTTTTTATGTCGAGGAACACGAATACGGTGGGTTGCCAATATGTGTGACGGTGCTCTAACAAGTGACGCAAAATGATGGTGTGGTTAATGCAGCCACGACGAAACACTGCTTGCTCCTCACGAATCTGGCTTTCACGACCGCCAGTCAGTCTGTGAAGAATTATGGAGGCGAGTAAGTTGGAGGCGATGGGGATCAGACTGATTCCTCCATGCTTGTCGCATTCCGAGCGCGAGCTTCCTTTGAATATGGGAACAATAACCCAGTAGCTCCGGTCGGTTGGGACAGTTTCCTGCTCCCACAGTTTCACTTGTAATTCGTGTAAATCACCTACAAGAGCAGGGCCCCAGAATTTGAAGAGGGCTGGATGAAGATCATCTGGTCCCTCGACTTTGTTCAACTTCAACAGTCCAATCTCACATTCGACTTCTGAGCGGGAACGGATCCATAGAGACAGCCCAAGCAGCAGGGCGATCACTGGTCGGCGAGAAATCTAACAATTCCGGCTGATTAAATTGCCTTTCAAAGTGCTCAGCCCAACGCTCCAAGCGTTTTGACAAGTTGTGGATAGGCTGTCCACTCTCGTCACAAATTGTTTCACTTACACCAGGTCTCCTGCTGCCCGTTTCCGGTATCAGACGGAATAACTTTAAATGGTTACCAAGGGCACTGGCTACTTCCGTCTCTGACGCACGAAGACATCACCAGAATTCGCGGTCTCTCTTCAGGCTAGCACGGAATTTTGCCCGGAGCTCTGCGAGTTTCATGGTTTTTGTTCTTGTTAAGATGATTTACTGTAGGTGTAAGTCAGTGTAGCTCAATTGCGGTGTATAGGCATTAAGTATGCATCCCCACCCCTCGGTATGAGGTATCTGAATGTATTAGTCACCCATGTACCACCATTCTTGCAGTGTTTTGCACCCTGTCGTTACCACCAAAAGTATAATATTTTGGGTTTTCCTTTACTAATTTTAGACCCTATTTCATATATATATATATATATATATATATATATATATATATATATATATATATATATATATATAGATAGATATATAGATAGATAGATAGATAGATAGATAGATAGATAGATAGATAGATAGATAGATAGATAGATAGATAGATAGATAGATAGATAGATAGATAGATAGATAGATAGATAGATAGATAGATAGATAGATAGATAGATAGATAGATAGATAGATAGATAGATAGATAGATAGATAGATAGATAGATAGATAGATAGATAGATAGATAGATAGATAGATAGATAGATAGATAGATAGATAGATAGATAGATAGATAGATAGATAGATAGATAGATAGATAGATAGATAGATAGATAGATAGATAGATAGATAGATAGATAGATAGATAGATAGATAGATAGATAGATAGATAGATAGATAGATAGATAGATAGATAGATAGATAGATAGATAGATAGATAGATAGATAGATAGATAGATAGATAGATAGATAGATAGATAGATAGATAGATAGATAGATAGATAGATAGATAGATAGATAGATAGATAGATAGATAGATAGATAGATAACGCCCTGTTGTTCTACTCCGTTAGCACTACGTTCTGCAGCATAAAAACGTTTTTGATCACTCGTTGACTTGTCTTTCTAACCATTCTCGTTAGCACTGTTATACGGTAACTTCACCATGAACAGGTTGTTTCACAATAACGCCCACTGCCTACTTATCATTTAGTAGACCACCTGTACTTTCTGATATGAAGGTTTCCTAATTACGGGTATCATGCTTCAGCTGGCGATCTCTACGTTCCCCGACTAATGCTCAATCTGAGCAACCACACCGATTCATCCATACTGTCTTCCACAAGAAATGAGTGGTTGGTTGACAATCGAATTAGCGGATGCAGCGCACCATGTAATGATCATGTTACATTCTTAATGGCCGATCTGTGATCTGATGGACCACAAGTCTGCCTTGTAATCCGAGGGCGCGGGTTCGTGTCTGCGTTGGGACCGGGTGATCCTCCCAGTATCCTTAGCCCACACGCAACTGTTGGTGGTTGCGTGGCAGTGAAGCGTCGGTACTGCGTACCCGCGTACTGCTGATGCCTTTATCCCAGATTTTCTGATTGGCGGGTTTACTCGGTTCTTAAATCCTGTTTTCCGGGTGACATTTCCTCAGCCTCACATGGAGAATCACACGCAGTCGGGCAACAGGTTTTTCCTCCTAAATACATCACTTTTACTAGACTACACCAGCCGCTTTGGTACTGCATCGTTATTATCTGTGCTGGAGACAGCATCTCCAGATGTTTAAACTCTTATTCTCCGTCCTCAGTACTTACACTTCCCACGATATCAATCTGCCAGCCGATCGAATTCTGACCTATTTTTGTGATACTACCTTTTGTTCTTACCATTTGCTTCTGTCTCTAGCATTCAACATATGCCTCCGAATCCGACTATGTCACTCGATCGGCCGTGACCCACACGAAATGCAACAGACAATTTCTGTCACAACGGACAGGAGGGCTGAGTGCGGAAAGCAACCCACTGTAGGTTTCTTGCTGCAGATTTGTTGATCCCTTCGCTTTCAGCGACACATCTACTTGCCAGCAGTGTAAAACAGTGCTACAATGGGCTTTCCGTACTCTGAGTGACCCCGGTTTTAAGGCCCGACTGGAAAATGACCTCGATGAGAACATCTGTTCCCACTTTCCATATCTCCCGCGTCTTGAGGTAAGCAACCATTTCCTTAATTTTACCATACTGTCTTAAAACTTCTACCAATTGAATTGCTTTTTCTCGCATGGCTGTTTTGTGATAGCCTCTCCCACTCCGATAGGTTAGATTTCATCATCGTCATTACACATTAGCTAAAGGTGTGAAACACTTCAACCATTGTGCCGCAATAAAAAAGACAAAATATACGAAAAGCGAATAATAAACATTATTCAGTGCCAAAACAGATAACAAACTTCCAGCAACCCATGCTTCAAGGCTGAGATCATGGTTTGAGGGTGAAAATAAGCGGGATCGGAATGGATAGAGAATCTCACAGCTCAAATGCGTTGGTATAAAATGCTGGGTGAACAATCACATGCTTAGTTAACATATCTCAATTCTTTTGAACCCGATTCCAATAACTGTCTTATTTCCAACACATTAATTGCAACCACGGTTCATAAACGGTCATATTTCGGCCGCTTTGTTTTTACAGGACTATAATCTAACTCTTCAATATCAACCTGGAGTATAATAGTGGCTCGGCTATCTTGCTCGGGGTTTGACATGCCGGCGCAGAACAGCTCTCGTGTGAGCGGGTGCTTCGACTCCCAGTTGTACCACAGGTACCTGAAAAACCAATCACAACGGTTTCTGTCCTTAGGCGCCTCATTGTCCTTAGCGTATCCCTTAGAGAATTTCCATAGCCTTCTGTTTGCTCTCTAGAAGGGCGAATATCGGGTTTCAGCGCATCATGATGATGGTATGCATAGGGGGTATGATGTATATCGCTTAAATAAAGCCAGTACTCTTTTATTACTCAGCGACTACCTTAACACATGCGACACATTTAAGGATTACTCAAACGCATCTTGCATCTGGTGTGACTAATGATTGTTAGTTGGGCCTTGACAACAGGCCATTTGGACATAACGTGTTCACCCGAAAACACTGTACTCCATGACCGGTCTCAAATTTATTAGCTCTTACCAGGTAGTGATAGCAGGCCTCAAAGTGGAGTGGCTTGTTTTCGGGCTGACAGCAACCAATATCCTCCTGTCTCACCAGTTACGATCTCAGTGATCAAAATGGCCAAAGCACACTTCAATATGAATCGCAGTTTACATTTGGATTGCGCGTTGCAATCCATTCACACAACGAGGGCTTCAAAATGACCATCCAGTAAGGTATCCGCACTGTATGAGTTTGTTCGTTCCTTTTCTGCTATAAACTTTTTAATATGTCCAGTGCCCCATGACAAGACAGCATAAATCTGGGCCGAACGACAGGATCATGTTAGTGCTCCTCCCATTGCTGTGGATGAAAATCACAGGATTGACTACGGCACCCGCTTGAAACACTGTCGTACCTGCCAACTACATTTTGGCCGACTGCTTCACACGATGTTATCTTCGGTTTTTTTCTTTCATTATTTTTTCTTTTCTGTGTATCGATCATCCGTAATGTGTTCAACCCGTGAGCCTAGCCTAGCTTCTAATGTCTTTTAGTAGAGCGTTTCGTTACATTTTTTGTCCTTATTGACACGATGACATAAGACCGAATCTAAAACCCTTACTGTACGTGACACATTGATACACCATGTAGACCAAGCAACTAGAAACGCACGCTCTTTGACTCATTGGTTTGTTTTTACGGATTCTGTCAATCGCTACCATAGTGAGATGATTTAGCTCAGAATCCGACCACAGGGTCAATTATCTGGGGTTTAAGCAGAGCGCTTCATTGAGACTGGAAGACTGATTATCATCCGGTGCGACCACTGCCTTTATGCATGTTATTAAATCCGAAAATTACTGATGTGCGAAGGAAGCAATACGATTTTTCCTGGTAGTTTGAGTGAGACTGTGGCTAATTGTTATCATTTTCGCAATGTGAATTGCATGATGCATCAACAGGCGATGAATTTGGTCACTACCAAGATGATTCTACCTGACAGACTCAGGGGATAGTACCAATTGTCTATCGCCTCAGTTTTCTTTACATCCTATCCTAACCTATTCCAATATTTTCTGCTGCTGGAGTTGGAGCTTAGTAGTAAGCTGGATACCACTTTATCTTGGTATGCGACCGCGTACTTAGGTATACTCATAAATGCACTGAACCATAATGTTGCCTCCAGTTTCTTTCATAACCTTCCACAGCTTACCGAGTTTCTCCACCATGAACTGATCGGTCCAATAATGTTATGCTGTTGTTTCCCACACGGTTGAATGTGCAGACGACAATATTCTTCTGCTGAACTTGGTGCATGCTTGGTGTGTTGGGAACAGCAACAGCCAAAAAAGTTTGACAATGCTTTGTGTCGATTCTCTGCTGCCATACATACACAATTGATTGTGTGGCTTGGCACTCCTTCAGAATCAGTTTGTGCTACACATTTGCATTCATTTCATTCTCGTACCTGCCGGCTAAACGTCTGATAAAGTGAAGCATTTACTCACACGACTGTTTACACACTGTGTTCCATTGCATGATCTTCGGACCGGCTGTCGTTGTGGATTGTTTTTCAACTCGTTGCTTTATACCGATTATTTTACTTTTTTGGGTTCACTAGGGTCTATCATTACTCTAAATATTTTTTTATCGGTAGCACTATTTTTCTGAAGGGGAAATATATGCTAATATTTTTTGATACATAACTCTTGGATTCCAAGCCTCTAAGCCATCTTACTGCTGTCGCTCAAGCTATTCGCCATGTCAGATGCCTCTTTACTCTTTGGCGCTGCTCCTTTTGATACCCTTCGGAGCCATGTGGACAAGTTGCATTAGTTAACTCGGGAGGGGTACCTAAAACGCTGCTGAGCGTTTCTGATGAGTGATCTCAGTGCTCACTTATTCCCCAATCCCCTGAGCATCAAAATCTTCGGCGTTCAATCCGTTGAGTGGTATGGACATTACACTTTGAGCAGGAACTATACAATTGTCTACATCATTTATGTTTGTTTCTGACTCACGTAGATAGTTACAATTTATCCTCACAGTATAGGATTAGCTTCTTTGTTTCCAGCGTGCAACGATCTCTTACCGTTCCCCACAACTCATCCGATTTATCTCATAGTTGTAATCTTACAGTTAGTTCCTCCCATCTCTATTGTAACAAAACGCTCTCAATAGTCTTTATCTACTGCTCTTGGAGGTCATTTTTGCGGTTGCTCTAGCTCACTCTAAATGTGGATGACTTTCATTTAGCGTCACCTATCTTTTGAGTTGTCGTTTGACCTTCCACTTTTCTCAAATGTCTGTTCGCCCGGCAATTTCATTTATTGATCCCCTCTAGGTGTAACCCATTTTTTCACAGGATCAGATCAACGTTTAGTATTTGGACTTAATTTTTCCAGCCATGCTATCGCCATCTACATTTGCCTCCTATTTCTTAGAAGCACCTTATTATAAAATACTCAGCCGTACAGCTTTTGCATACTCTTCTGAAAGTCTGCCTACGTACCGCTAACACTTTCCAGTTTTTCTCAAAAAATTATATTCACTTTATCTTCATTTTTGTCTAATGTATTTACCCTGTCTTACAAAGGCTCTTGTTTATCTTCACATATCTTCAATATGACCAACTGTTGCTATCCCCTATGAGTACAGTTGATTTCCCCCATCTCTCTCTTGCACTGCTATTTGAACAGTGTATTAGCGTTGTGAGCGACAGTTTCGATGGACTCCTACGAATTTTCGACCAGGCTGATCTGGATGCTATATGCGCGACGTTCAGAATGTGTCCCAACGTTTCCACCACCCTCCCACTCGTTGATTCACTCCGGATTCCTCGGGATCCCGAAGCTTCATTGCCTGGGGTTTGCCATCTATGCGAACTTGCGATTAACAAGCTCATATCCCTTCTCATAGACAAGCCGACAGAAGAAGGCATAGCTGCTGCGCTTGACCAGGTGGGCGAAGCTCCATTTTGTTCCTGTTTTCTTTAACACTCTTTAATATCTTATCTCCATCCGATATTTCCACAGCTTCGGTTTAATGTCAAAACATTTGGTGTTTTAGTCACTTATATGTCATACTGAAACGTATTTTTCTCCCTGCCTTCTCTTTGTCTGTGGTCTCATTACAGACCATTGGCTTCGGTTTCTCGGATCTCTAAAGACACCACCATTTCTATATTTGCAAGTTTATGATGTGCGTTTTCCGCTTGCCCTGATGACTAAGGGTGCGCTATCTTCCAGTATCATTTCGTTGTTTGAGCGTTCGCTATCAACCTCCATCCGCACAAAACTGGATACTGTCCACTTATGATGGTTTGTGTGATTTATTGACTGACCATGGGTTACATTTTTCAATTGGCTTCACTATCACGCATACAGATTAATCAGTGGTTAGGTAAACAATGTCTCAATTTCTTCATCCATGGGAGAGGAAATTTTACAGCCTAACGGTTGGGCTCGATTGACGTCGGATAAGGGGAATTTCGACGGTACAGGATCGCAGTTATTTCCCTCTGTATTGCTGGCAACCTTCACAAAGAGCCCTCTGGGAATAATGTGGAAGCACTTTGACATCTAATCTGTCAGCCGTGGTCACGGGTGTATCCACTCATACTGCGCTGAAACTTTTATAGATTATCCTAAGACACGGGCTGTGTGTGGTGTGCTCCTTGCACATCCCCATGTGGCTCTGTAGTCGTATTCCTGGTCTGGACCGGTTCCCTACTGCTGTTATGTATCACAGACCCCTGGTGAACTCCTTTATCCCATCGTCCTGTGCGTCACGCTATGGAACCGATACCCAGTAGGGGAGCGACTATATAGGAAGTGATAGCCAGTAGGTACCATCTCACTGCACTCTTTCTTTTTCTTCCGTTTCCACTTTCTCTAGTCTTAAGTTACGTAACCCTCAGTTGCTACTGATTTCACGAGTCATTTCAACAACCTGTTTAACTCCTCATTCCAGTAGAGGGTCTCATTTCACGTTTGCACGGTATGCAGTGCCAGCTGACATGTCGAGCACACTTTGTAATCGATGCATGCAGCCTCGACCAGTGCCCCATTAATATAGGACATCTCCATTGTATCTTCTAAGGTAACCGGTACAAATCTGCGTAGGCACGTGAGACCTCGCAATATTCTTTGCCCACGCGCGGCAGATGGTGTTCGTGCGGCAGCGAAACGTCATTTCGGCTTGCCGACGTACTGCTGATGATTTTCTTTTACCGTTTTTATTTTTTTGCAGATTAATGGCGGCATATTAAACGTCCGCCTGTCTGTTGACAGGAACAGTTTTTTCCACTTCTTCTGCCACGCATTGTCCATGACGAAAGATATTTATGAACTTTTTGTTGTTTTCGGTAGATATGATGAAGCCGGCCTACTCGAAGGGGTTCTAATCAATAACCGCTCGTTACGAACTTGTTTATACTTTATTGTCAGTAGGGACCGTGCTGCTTATCACAGCTTATAGGCCGTCACAGGGGGATTGTGTGAACATATCTGAGTCATTCGACCTAGATTGTTAACGGCATGCTCCTTGATATGGACATTATTTCGCAAGTGCATCATGAATAATTTACGTTACTATCACTGACAAGCGGAGTGGCTAAACCGAGTACCTCTTACGAACATTTCCAGTGTGTTGTAAACAGTGCTCTCGATGCCAGCTGACTCCCAAATCACCGCGCTGAACTCCGTCGTGCCTAGACCTGATGTTAACTAGCTACCAGATAACATCTGTGTGTTTCTGGAGCTGTTAGCATCACGCAACCACGGTTTTCATTGCTTTAATGAAGCTGCCGTGAGCCAACCGGACTGGTCTCTTCTGTAGAATGCTTCTGTCAAAGCCTGTTGATCACCTACAAAAGATTTAACAAACTCATTGTGCTGTCGGCTTGTACCCCCAAGTGCTGTAAGGCGGGATAAATCAAACCGTTTGGGGTCGACAGGTTATGGCAAATTTCTTCGGCTGCAGTGCTGTCTGTGGGACACATTTTTCTTTTCTGGTTTGGTGGACGACTACGCGACATATAAAAGTAGCGAACTATTTCCATTAGTGAGCCACGTGTTGCGCATGCCAGCCCACCGACTCCTGCGACGTGCATGATTTGCGCGCTGGAAGTGCGGATGGAAGAAAAGGAGGGGTCACCAAGCGATGACTTAGTCAAGAGGAATGAAGGCTCTTACTTCAAAGTTGACCTCGGTTGGCGCCTCTCAGCTCCCTGCTTGGGGACCGAAGGACGATGAGCACGTTTAGCTGGATACACTTGTTGACATGACTAGAAGCCGACCTCAATGACGTTTGTGTTGTGAGTTTTTTGTCCCTCTCCCTCCCGCTTAGCCTCCCTCTCCAACTACAATCTCATTTATTAGGAGTAATATACCCCCTTTTTGCGGCACAAGAGCTCTCCGGAACAATATCCATCCGTTACTGGCGGCTCAGCTGGCGTGCCTCTTGCATGTTTTTTCTTATATATTGTGACAATAGCTGAGATATTTTCCACCTGCAGCTAACGTGTGTAATAATAAAGAATGTTTGCACCAGTGCGAAAACCAGTACGGGTCGATACTTAGAAGTGCGATTTACAAAGACTTCCTCTAGGAGGACTTTTGCACACGTTAAGCAGGTGACATATCACTGCTAGATGGCCCAAACGGACAGCCAGCACTGGGCATACGTCCTCTTTGAGGGCACCATTCGCTTCTGTATTCGCATTGGACCAAGTGTCTGCATCGATTTCAACTTGTACTGCTCCTGTCGAACTCCACGGTCTAGACTGCGGTGTTGCACCAACTACTCGCCAACCTTAGTGGCACCAAGCCCGGTGGACCCGACAGGCTTTACCTGATAATTCTCAGGTCGTTATTTACCATCATCTGATGAGCAAAACGTTGAAGCACATGGTTGTTCTATCCCTTAGTATCAATAGTCTTACTTTCTTTTTTCTGTGTGTTTGATGCTTATCGTGTCTTATCTGTAAATTAGGTAGCTAAGGATACATTTTCTGATGCAACAAATCGTGAAGGAGCACCAAGTTTTGTTATAGCCGTTGCATCTAGAGAGGCTCGATGTGAAGCTGCTTGCAACGTTCGCGATAGTTTAGGGCAGATGTGCTACTCTACAAACGTTTGGTAAATCACCGGTACATTTTCTATGGTTTTCCTGTTTAACTTCCGCATGCTGCCAGGGATAAATTTCCACTATTCGTGCATAATGTTTTAAATAATAATGGTTTGGCAGGAACTGTATGGATTTTTGTGGCATATGTTAGCCACGAATTGTCTGGCTCGAGCTGTTTGTTTTTTGGTATTGTTCAGAAAAGTGGAAGTCGGAGGAATACCGGATTCCAACACGACGGACGGACTGCTGTATGGACATACTTTTGTTAACTTCAACTGATCCTTCGGCGATCGGGCAGCAACATGACATAATGCTTGATTTGTCGGTCGAGAATCTTATCAGCTACGTGTCGGACCATTCCCCAAGAGCGTGAAGATCATCTGGAATTAAAAGTATTGTGCTCTGAATCGCATCGCGCCGGAGTTTATAAGCAATCTTAATGTCATCAGCAAATAGAAAGAGTTGGGCATTTTTGATGGATATACCAATATCATTGATGTAGAGGGAAAAAATCAAGGCCCCAAGTACAGTTCCTTAGATGACGTTGCTGGTAATTGGGCTTGGAGAAGAGTGGTGGTCACCCAAAGTGACTTGTCGTAACCGATTTCTAAGGTAGTAGGAAAGCCAACAAAGTAGGTCCCGGATTCCAAAGGATTCAATCTTTTTCAGTAACTACTTGTGTGGTATACGGCCAGATGTTTTTTTAAAGTCCAAAAGTAAATTTATTATTGCATAACGAGAGTCTATGTATTCTGGAATGTTATTAAGGTTGCGTGATAGGTCGTGCAGGGACGTCTATCAAGGAAACCATGCTGAAATGTGTTAAACGGGTTCGGAGAATTAAGGCATTCCGTCATAGTTTCCTTGATTAATCTTCCAAACAGAATGGCGATGGTGGGAGCATGGCGATTCCGTCGGTAATTGGTAACTTGTTTTCGACCGCTTTTATGCCATGGGATGATGAACGAGGTTTTCCATTCATAAGCACAATAGGCAGCTCTTAGCTATATTGTGAACATACTCAACAGAAGTAATGGTAAGTCTGGTCCACCCATTTTAATGGCAATTGAAGCGATGCTGTCGGAGTCCAATCTGAGAGAAGACATGTTGGCTTTCATAAGCTGCTGAATATTGTTGAAAGTTTGACATTACATAGGCTGTTGGTCGTTATGGATTGAAGTGATATAGGACGTACCATGGACGATTAGTTTATAGGCTCCGTCGGAAGACTAGGTCCGAAACGCGATCACAGCCCTCACTCGTTTTCGTGCTGCTGGCAAGGAATCCCTCCCACCTGTACCACTTGAAGATAGAGGTGAGGTCCTCTGCAAATCACTGACGTCCCTATTCGAACATATCTGGAAGGAATAAAGTGTCCCGGCTAACTAGCTGAATCGATTATAGTGGCACTGTACGTGAAGGGCAGTCGCAGCGACTGTGCTAACCCCAGGGTATTAGTCTATCGCCAGTTGTGACGAAGTTACTGGTCTCGATTCTAGTTCGTCGTCTCACTGTGGAACGGGAATCTCGGATTAGGAAAGAGCAGGCAGATTTCCGTTCAGGACGTGGCTGTCTAGACTATATATTCACTCTGCGGCAGTTGCTGGAGCAGCGCCATACGTACCGCAGACCGATAATAGCTGTGTTCCTCGATTTCATGAGTGCGTTTTATTCAGTCGATAGATGCATTCTGTTCGAAATACTTGCGTGAAAAGGTGTTCCCACGAAAAATGTGAACATCTTACGTGCTCTATACTTGAACACTACAGGCCGCGTCAGGGTTTACTGTGACCTGTTTTATAGCTTTCCGACAACAAGTGGGGTTCTGATTTCCCTGTTTTTGTTCAATTTCGCCGTGGACTTTATCATGGAGTGTTCCCTTACGGAATCTCACGATGTAGGCGTTGAGATTCTGCCTGGTGAAAGGCTAGTTGATCTTGATTATGCGGACGATATCGTTTTGCTTTTTGACGATGTTGGGACGGCGCAATCAACTTTGAATAGCCTCTCTAGAGTTGTCCCATCATTTGGTATGCCTGTTTAAAGTATGCTTGGTGCTGAGTTATCTGCGGGGTAATGGCTGATTATGACCTGGGGAAGTGGAAACCGCAAGGAAGCTGTTTCACCGATACCGCCATATCTTTGCACGATAGCCAGCTGTTTGTGACTTTATATTGTTAACACAGGTGCATTCGCCTTGACTCTGAATGTTTGCTTAGAGCATTAATGTTTCCCGTTGAGTCCCCTTTCTCCCCCTCTTATTATTCTTTATTCCATAAAACATCATGGTTGTATGGTAGCGAAGCATCAGTTCAAGTGGCTGATGTACTGCTGTTGTTGATGATGATGGATTGAGGACATTCAGGTGTTGGGTCGGATTCAAGGATCATGGAGGCAGCAAAGAAGAGACTGAAGGTATTGTCGTTTTCATCCAAGAATAGCGACAAGCTCTTTGTTTTGCAACCCGTTCGTATAGCATTTCTTTTGAGTCGCATCGCTTGTGCATGTTTGATCCTAGTGGTCTATTTGTGCATTTGCGGTGTCGTTGCACGGTAGCCAGCTGTTTGTGACAGCATGTTGTTGACAATGGTGTAGGCGCCTTGACCCTGAATCTTTGCTTCAGGCATTAAGTTTTTTGGTTAGTCCATCTTATCTCCCCCTTACTATTCTTCGTACCGTAGGTATGGTTGTATGGCAGCGAAGCATCAGTCCAAATAGCTGATGTACTGCTGTTGGTGATGATGATGAGTGTTGTTGATAAGTCTTCGGTATTGTAAAATCTCGCTAGCAATTTTCGAGTTTCCTGGGTGAGTAAGCGTTCTTTCATATTCTTAGATCCGTAGGCAACGCGTTTGTTTTGTAGAGTAAGATGAGTTATGGCATAGTGGAGGCTAGGATAGGAATGTACTACTGTTAGACAGATGTTTGTGGATGGGAAAAATGTTTCGCAGTCGGAGGATCTTTACCAACTAATGGAGGTGTGCCCAATTTTATCCTTGGATGAAATATTTTGCGAGCCTTTCCAGATTGACATTTTATCTGATATTGTAAGTAGTGTAACATTTTGTGGTCACTACCAGGGAGACCGTCCAGCAGATCGAGGTTTGCATCAACGATGCCTAATGTAGATACTAAGTCAAGTACGTTTGTTGATCCAGTAGGCATTGTAACCCATCGTGTCCATTCTCTAGACATGATAGTTGACTGGAAAGCTGCATATGCTAACCAAGATGGATCTGGTGACGAAGATAATTTTCGTGAAATTAAAGTCTCCGGCTGTGATTTTCTGTTACTACGGCAACACTGATGCAAAATGTAATACGGTGCAGATACCTTGTTACCATACCAGTTGGGGCATTCGGAAGGTTGTAGGTGCATCCGAGAAATATATGATGGGATGTTCTCGTAACAAGTAGCCCCAGAGTTTCAATGGGTTTTCTAACTCATGATGGCCAAGAGAGACATCTCTGTGAATGCTCAGTGCAGATATATAGTACATCTCCCACGCCTTGTGCATCGATCTTTACGAAATTATTAGTTATTTGGGATTGTTAGAGTTGTATCCAACGTATTAGTAGAGCACCATGTTTCAGTGGCTAGCATTGCACTTAGAATGCTCAACTGTACAATCATGTTTAGAAAGTGAAGCTTATTGTTACTAGATCTCGCATTGATCAGGAGTAGAGTAAACGATATTTGTGTGTTGGACGAGTTGTTGGGAACATTTGGTAGGGTTGAGAAATACGGGGCACAAAATTGAGCTATAAAAAGTGAATACAGAGAGATGCAGGGGGTGATTGCAGTCTCTAATGTATATTTAGACAACCGGGTGTTTTCGGTCGGGATTACTGGTATTACTGGTTGAAAAGGGAGAGGTTATGCATGAACCCTGTGGTGTTTCTGCCTTGATACTGAATCATTCTTGTCATGTGTACAATCTGTAGTAAAACTTAGTTGTTTGCTTCGATTCCATAGCCTCATCTCACTATGGCCCTGCTTCTGATGTTGATTTCTAATTATGACTCGTGCTGATTACCTCGAAACACATGCATCTGTTCTGTAATAACACGACCCCTGTTATTCACCTTGACAGGTATGCAATTTACTTCCATCAGCCTACAAAACCGATTGCGATTATTTCGTCAAAAATTACGGAGGCAAAGTTGTGTCTGCTATAATTGAGGGCACAGCACCAAAACTCATCTGCTTTTCCTTGGGCCTTTGTGATTCAGCTTACCCAGTTCGTCTAACGGTGAGTTCGTTTACTTTTTCTCGCATTGGCATTTAGAGTGTCTTTAACGAGGCATTCTGATTAACGCAACCTATGCACTTACGAAGTGCCAACCTGTTCGTTAATCAATTTTGCATCCCGATCTAGGTTGATCAGCGTATTCCTTCTAACCATTGTATAAACAGTAATGTTAATTGACGGCTGTGCTGTTGGCCGAGCTTGGTGATTTTGTCGCAGACGTTTTATCAGCAATCGAGGTGACATCGTCAGTACGTTGTTGTGTAGCGTGTAGTAGCATAGCGTAGGAAAGCCTCGATGAGAGTATGCCGAGCTTGGTGCACGTGTTTTTTGTCATCTTGATTGGCCGGGAAGACGAGTTGTGCTATTGGTCGAGACTGATCCGGGTTCTACTTGTCCGATGGGCAGATACCCTTAACATTTGACACTTCCGATTTGTGTTTCGTAACCTTGTATGTTTGCTCTTGTGATCAAATCTGTCACCAGATCTTGTTTGGTGCCATGCTCCGCTTTATTCAACCGATCGAGCTGGCGATCCCTTGCCAGTAGTATTGCGCATGCTGTGCCCATTTCAATATGTCGATAGATCGAATTCAATGTAGGGTGCCGTGCTTCCGAAAATTCCCTCGCGTGCCTTGTACTCTTATGCGCTGGCTTGAAATGACGACCTTGATCTTCATGTGCGGAAACCGATTAGTGCGAATCATGTCTTCTCACGGGTAGCCTTATGTTCGGTGATTCGCGTACACACCTTTCGTCCAGTTTGTCCCACGTAGTTTTTGTCATAGTCGCTGCATTTTATCTGTTAGATGGCATTGCTTTGATCGACTCGATTGACTCATTCCTTGAGTTTTGAGATCACTTTCCTTAGGGTGGCACTTGGTTTGGGAGCCACAGATATTCTACGTGACTGTAGCGATCTTCCTGTTAGTTCGGAGACACACTTGATGTAGGCAAGCACTGGGCTGTATCGTTTAATTATCCATTTGTACTGCTATGTGACACAGACGCCAAGGGAATCCGGCCACATGGCGGAACTACATACCGATGCACGGGTCTAGTGCGAATGACATTTCAAAGGAAAGTGCACTGTATTTTAGCTTTGTTCTCTGACGGATCGTGCCTACCCCTAGTGGGCCAGAAAACAAATTGGCCGAGAAAAGGTGGAATGAAGCTTCAGAACGTCTCACGTTCGATCCCTTTTCCTGCTACCGGATGATTCTGAAACCGGTCGTAGACTGTGGTGTGTCGCGAGCGCGGGGGACCTCCTAACATTTATCTGCATCAGACGAAGTCTCATTGACCGAATTGGCTAAAGTTCTTGTCAAAGTTAATATCGTGATGCAGCTTTAGATTGCGTGTAACGGGGCCTTCAGAGTAATTTCTCCACTCAATTTGAAGCCGTGTTTTAGTAATCTGCACATTTGACGTCAACAAATCACTAATACTTGAATGGAAGTCTTGTGTTCGTTCATCATTAATGCATACGTACAACAGCCAAAACGGTACATTCTGTATCTCATATGTAAACATTTAAGGTCGACGTGACTGTTAGGTCAGCAGAAATAAAGGAGCTAGTTACATTCGATCATAGCTGCCTTCGCAGCTTAGCTCATGTCTAGTGGGCGCACCTTGTCAGCAATGAGCGTGTTCGGCGTGGTAAGTCTAATAGCCAACATGGACATTGGGTCTCTTCGCGGTCTCTGGAACTTATAGATCTTCGCCGGCGCATTCCGGCTGGAAGTGAACACAATGAAACTAGCAAAGAGCTCCGTGCTAGCCTGAAGAGAGACCGCGAATATTGGTGATGTCTTCGCGCTTCAGAGGTGGAAGTAGCCGCTGCCCTTGGTAACCATTTAAAGTTATTCCGTCTGATACGGGAAACGAGCAGCAGAAGACCTGGTATTAGTGAAACAATTTGTAACTAGAGTGGACAGCCTATCCACAACTTGTCAAAACGCTTGGAGCGTTGGGCTGAGCACTTTGAAAGGCAATTTAATCGGCCGGAATTGTTAGATTGTTCACCGACCAATGATCGCCCTGCTGCTTGGGCTCTCTTTGAATCCGTTCCCGCTCAGAAGTCGAAGGTGAGATCGGACTGTTGAAGTTGAACAAAGCCGCGGTACCAGATGAGCCTCATGCAACCCCTTTCAAATTCGAGGGCCCTGCTCTTATTAGTGATTTACACGTATTACAAGTGAGACTGTGGGAGCAGGGAACTGTCCCAACCGACCGGAGCCACTGGGTTATTGTTCCCATTTTCAAAGGAAGCTCGCGCTCGGAATGCGACAACCATAGAGGAATCAGTCTGATCCCCATCGCTTCCAAATTACTTGCCTCCGTAATCCTTCACAGACTGATTGGCTCTCGTGAAAGCCAGATTCGTGAGGAGCAAGCAGTGTTTCGTCGGGGTCGTGGCTGCATTAACCACACCTTCATTTTGCGTCACTTGTTAGAGCACCGTCACACATATTGGCAACCCACCGTATTCGTGTTCCTCGACATTAAAGGTGCATTCGATTCGGTGGATAGACGTGCACTTTGGGACTGTCTACTCAGGAAAGGTGTGCCCGAGAAATATGTAAATAATATCCGAGCATTATACGCGGTAGTACGGGCAAAGTGAGGGCTTACGGCAAGTTGTCGTCATCCTTCAATATCTCCAGCGGTGTGAGACAAGGATGCCCGCTGTCACGTTTCCTCCTCAACTTCGCTATTGACGAACTCATGAAGATTGCATTTACGGGACATGACATGGAAGGTGTGGAGCTATTCCCAGCAGAACGACTTGTTGACTTGGAGTACACTGACGACATTGCCCTCATCTGTGGAAGCTCCCAGACGTGCCAAGATGCACTGGACAGATTAGCACTGGCGGTCAGCCGCTTCGGGCTTTGCTTTGCACCATCGAAGTGAAAAGCTTTCCTCCAGCATTGGCAGGGATCTCCTCTTGCGCTGATCCTTGGTGGGGATCAACTAGAAGTCGTTCAGAAATTCAACTACCTGGGAAGTTGTATCAGCGCCCTTGGAATCATCACCATCATCATCATCATTACACGTTAGCTGGAGGTGGAAAACACCTCAGCTATTGTGCCGCAATACAAAAGGCAAGAGAAGAATAAAACAAACAAACAAACAAACTGTGGCACACCCGCTGAGTCCCCAGTAACGGATGGACATCGTTCCGGAGAGCTAACAGCTGGCTGCCGTAAAAGAAAGTCATATTATGCCTAACGACTGAGATCGTGATTGGAGGGGGATGCTAAACAGGAGGGGGATGGTCAAAGGAACTCACAACGTCGGGATGCACCAACCGACGCCAACTTCGAAGTAAGGGTTTTTATTTCTCTCGACCAAGTCATCACTTGGCCTCCCCTCCTCCTCTTCCAACCGCACCCACAACGCGCAAACAATGCACGTCGTGGGAGTCGGTGTGCTGGCATGCGCAACACGTGGCCCAGCCATCGGAGCCTGGTGCGTGATATAATGGTGCTGAGCGGTTCACTCGCTCTTCCTGCACCAAATACGCGACGCCGAACACGTTCATTCCTCACGCGGTGTTCCCACCAGACATGAGCTAAGCTGCGAAGGCAGCGATGATCGAACGTGACGAGTCTCTTCATGTCTGTCGACCTGATGGGCCAGGTTTCACAGCCATATAGGAGAGTTGAACGGACGGCTGCGTTGTAAATTCTGCCCTTGAGGGCGAGAGTAATGTCGCGTCTGCGCCACAGGTGGCGGAGATTGGCAAAAGCACCTCGAGCTTTTGCTATACGGTTCGTAACCTCATCCTCAATCCCACGGGTGCTGATATAGCTGCCCAGGTACTTAAATTGCTGAACGACTTCTAGCAGATCACCACCAAGCGTTAGCGCAGGGTTGGGTCCCTGCCAGCCTTGGAGAAGTATTTTGCATTTTGATGGAGCAAAGCATAGCCCAAAACGATTGACAGCCAGTGCTAATCGGTTCAGTGCTGTTTGGCATGTTTGGGAGCTGTCACAGATTAGAGCAATATCGTCTGCATACTCCAAGTCAAGAAGTCGCTCACCAGGGAGTAGCTCCACACTTTCTATGTCGTGTCCAGCGAACGCTGTTTCCATGACTTCATCAATAGCGAAGTTGAAGAGGAAAGGTGACAGCGGGCATGCGCCCTTGGAATGGGAGATGAGATCACGAACCGTATAGAAAAAGCTCAAGGTGCTTTTGCTAGTCTTTGTCACCTATGGCGGCGGCGCGACATCACTCTCGCCCTGAAGGGTAGAGTGTACAATGCCTCGGTACGTTCGACCTTACTGTATGGTTGCGAAACCTGGCCCGTTAGATCAGGAGATTTAAAGTGGCTAGTTACGTCCGACCATCGGTGCCTTCGCAGTTTGGCTCACATCTGGTTGGAACACCTCGTGAGCAACGAGCGTGTTCGACGTCTTGTTTACGGCACAGGAAAAGGAATGAACCGTTCAACACCGTCATTTCACGCTGCAGGCTCCGATGGCTCGGCCACGTGTTACGCATGCCAGCCCACCGGCTCCCGCGACGTGGAAACCCGAAGGAATAAGACCGGGAGGCATGTGGATGGGAGCCACGTTTCATCAACGGAGCCGGCCCGTACTCCTTCATAGGCAAACACAAGCACGCCGTATTTGGGGAATCAAGCGCACACAAGACGGTGGCTGGACGGTAGCCTGGCTTCACACTGAGTGCATGGTACCGCTCTTCGAGCCTAGCACAGCCACAAGAACCGTGCACCCCGTCCCCTCCAGGGACGTCTAACTGTCTCTTGGAACCAGTATGAACGAGGTAGTGGGTAATAGACAGGTAGGCACCATGTTAACATACACATCAAGCGCAGCCACACCGGGGATATCAAGCAGCAGCGAATCACTTGAAACGAGACGATGAAATAAAATAAATCGGATAATACGTACTGATACGGTGGAAAACTCTTCGCTCAATTACCATATGAAGTAAGTTGCTTAGCAACGAATCCGCAGTAAGTAAAAAAT